TGCGTCTGCAGACGAACTTTGGGTACGCGTACAAACGATATGGAATGCTCTTCCTCAGTCAGACATTCAAACTTTGTTTGACTCCATGCCACGTCGTGTAGCAGCACTTATTGCGGCGCGTGGTGGCCACACAAAATACTGATTCTGATCTCTTGTTCTTGTTTGTTTGCTTTGAACATTTAATCATTTATTTGTACCACTACCACTCAACTGTGTATTAAATTGCATTCAATTATGACGATTCCTTCTTGGTGTTGCAATTTTCACAAACGTGAGTGTAGATGAAGTCAATATTACTAAGAGATATAGATATCAACAGAAATTACGGCAAGATCTCAGAAAAAGATTTAGACACAAATATTTGAGTCTCCTAATTCAGTCCACAGATAATAAAGCTGCTCGAAGACAAATATATTTAGGAGATGTGGTACTTGTCGGAAGTGACAACAAAAAAAGATTGGACTGGCCATTAGTCGAGTTATTGAACTATTCTAGAGTCAAGGTATTTGTGTTAGAGTGGCAAAGGTGAAAGCAGCTGCAGGTGAATTGATCCGTCCTGTGCAGCGATTGTATCCTTTGGAAGTGATGGATGACGAGAACTTGTTTTTACCTAAACAAAACCAATTTAAACTTCCTGCTAGTAAAGAAATTAACTTTAAACATCCTGATAAGATAATTAAAACTAGATGTGGTAGAACTATTGTAAAACCTTTGTGTTTTAATTAGTTTTTTCTTTTTATGATTATACTAAGTATTGTTTAGCCTCATTATTGTATTTTGATTTCTGTTCCGCCCACCATAAATCAAAAGGTGGGAAGAGATGTCGCGAGCAACTCAATGGTTGTATAAATGTAATTTCTTTAAAGGTTAAATTTTACGGTTTGGCAACATTGTATCGTTTTTATGTTTTAGAATAAATAAAGCAAAATGTACCATGATTTTGCATTAAGGTGGATTGCCTGTTTTATAGTGAATTAATTGGGTGGATTGCCCATATTACTTAATAATAAGTTTCTCTTTACGTTTCTTTTAATGAAGTACCGACTGAATGAACAAAATTTAAATAGAGTCTCATAAACACTGTCTTTGTCAAATGTAAACTGAGTTTGTTACAAAAAGTAAATTCCAATAATACCATCAAGAAGAATCATATAATCTTTTACTACATGGATTTTAGCAAGTAAAAGCGTTTCGAATTTTAATGGAGTTCTGAAAGAATCCTGAGAAGATAATTCTGGAGGGATGTAATGGGAGACAAACAACCTTGCGGTATGTGTTCTCATTAATAAATGTGGCTTTGTGACCCAGTGTGACAAGGTGCAGTTAACGGGGTTCCTGCAAGTTTAATATCAACAAGCACAGATGTTTAAAAAATTCTGAGCAGAAAGTGTATTTACAGTGGTATTAGGCGTAGAAGTCAGTGGCGAGAGCCCCAGTACTAATCAGTAAGCGATAGACATGCACTCGGTCCACACCGAGTCTCCGTTCCTCTACCCGAACAAAGCGGCAGTCAATTGTTCCTTACTTACTCTTTGCCCATTTAAGCAGCATTATTGTGCTTGAAAGAAAATAAATGTTGTTAAGTTTTCAACTTGACTTTTATGAATTAATACACAGTCCACAACTACAAATTGCTATCAACAATGATCATAATTTTTTTGCAGCCGTAAAAAATTTTGCTGATAAATGAAATGGCAAATTTGATTCATTTGGACAATTGATGCCTTTATGCCCTTTTAAACCACAAGAATAGCATATTAGTTGCATCAAAAACAAAGTCCAATATTAAGAATCAGGGTAAATTAAAACAAAATATTTTTTTTTTTTTTTTTTTTTGTTTTGCAGTAGTAATTCTTAATGTTAGACTTTGTTTTGATTCTTATTCAACGTGATATTTAAACTAAAATACTAGTTGCGTGTTTGATGTACGTTTATTATCAAGTTTAACACTGTGAAGGGAATTATGAAATTTCCTTTGAGTATTTTGCCTCAAATGTTTTGAACTGTTTATGAGTTTTTCGAAAAATCTTCAGTTTTTCTTTAAATTCAGGAATGGATTAACAGCCGCACAAAATTATTTTGTTGTTTGATATATCATGAAACCATTTATAACATACTCAAACAGAGAAAAGTCATCAATACAGCTTTTGTGTGCGAGATCTCTCATGGCTAAAAAATATTCTTGTAACGTTTCAAATGGTTTCATACGACGAGATTCCATTATTTGAGGTAATTGAAGGGTATTAATTTTATCAGAGAATTCGTCTAACAAATGGTGTTTTAATTGTTCCCAATTAGTAAATCCACAAATTGATCTTATTAAAGCTGGACTTGTTAGAAATTTTTGAACGAAAATTATTTGCTGAACAAACAGGTTTTGTTATCTGATAGAGATAGAAAGTGTCTTCTATATCGGAAAAAAAAGTTTCAACGTTGTAATTATCACGAGAGGAAAAAGGGTTTAATCAATTCAACGTCTTTCAAACCGAAATACTGAAACGAAACACTTTGATCATGCGAATTATTAGCCTGTAGTATTAAATTTCCTAGAAGGTTATCGAGACAGGCTTTCTCTCCCATTTGCTTACAAAAAGATTCATCTGGTGTGTAAGTGATATTTGCTTTTGCGATGAAATCCGTTGGAGGTGAATTTTGTACCAGAAGTTCGTCATCAACTTTGCTACTGTCAGACAACTCATTTTAATAATAAGATGTTAGGAAGGTTCGTAAGGATTGCGTTAGCACACTTAGAAAGTGTAGTAGAAAATTCCAAATATAGTAAATTACATACAGAAATTAGGTTGAGTGAAAGTTCTTTTATTATTTTTTGCTTCGTATCTTCTAAGTTAAATGGTTGGAAAAACCCTGAAAATTTAAGCAATCGAGAGTGATTTTGGCTATCCACATCTGTGCCAAAAATTAAAGAGCTTGATTTGTTGTGTACTGATAATTTTTAATGATCATACAATGTTGGGATAATCATTAAGGGTAGTTATTATTTATCAGTTTTGATTTCACTAAATATGAAATTCATCTGGTGTTAGTTTGTATTGGATCATAATGGGTTTTAACCTAGGCATCTGAACAGGAGCTCTTAAACCGTTATTATCCGCACTTGTCTGCTTACTACCATCATTATGCATCTCTTTACTATTTACAGCTAGACTAGCATATTTTTTCATGAGTGGGATTTCAGCATTGGATTTATACATTTTGCCGGATTTAGCAGTAACTTTTGGCATAATAAAGCCATCCCCAGTCTCAGAATTGTGGAAGAAAGCGTTTCTTAGATTTATTAACACCTTTTTTTTGAACTACTAGGAACAGGGATATCAGTACAATGATTAATAGAGTCATTTTCAGAATCAATGCAAGAAGAATCGCGATTACCGTCAACACTAATTTTTCACTTAAAGAATCGCATGTTTTCAGAGAATTATACACAGCATTTAAACTAGGACAAGAATCAGAATTGGTACCAAGAAGTTCGCATTTACTTTGTGTGTGCTAGATAACTGAGTTGGAAAGGTCAGACTGGTGCTAAAATTCCGATAGCGAGTATTTCTTCACGTAATCGCAAATTTTCGGATTGGCTTTCCTATCCTGGGCTAATTTTTGCACATAGTCTAGCATCGAAGACACTTTATTGTGAAATCCAATGAGAAACACTAATTCCTGAGAATCGTACGTCTCCTTCCGTAGAAGCTTTGCCTCATCAAAAGTAGCAGACAGCATTCGATAATCCAAAGATGGGGCATTATTGTACTGTACTGTCGAACCACACATTCGGCAGTAGCAGCCGCCGCTAACGGCCCCATTCAAAAACGAATGCACACTCGAATAGAATCGAAAATGAAATAAAACCATGTAAGCCACCTCAGATCCAAGCAGATGACTGACATTTTATTAATATCAAAAACAAAACATCAGGTATGATCTTCAGTCACATAATTAACATCTGCTATTTGAATCAAATCATGAAAACAGAAATTGGGTCTTCTTTCCATTCAGTCACGCAATGCACAAGGAACAAGAGAATTAATTTGCTCTTTTTTCAAGATAGTCCAGAACAGTTTTGTGAGTAGTGTCTTTACAGATATTAAGCTCATTAGCTATTATTCACACAGGCAAATCACTATTTTTCAGCAATGACCGTTAATCTTTAAAGAGCCACCATTCTCAGAATCAAAACATTTGAATCCATTGCAAAATTTTTCATATCAGTGAGGAATACAGCATCATATTAATGCTTGAACTCCATATGCTTTATACATCATTTCAAATTTTTCCATTGCTATTCTTTAAAACTGTACTGCTATTCTTTACTCAGGTTTTGAACATATGACAGAAAATGTTATTGGATGTTTTGAAATGATTCACTGAACAGAAAATTTTATCTATATGTACACAACATTTTAGAAAAAGCAAGTTGAGATGTTATAATATTAATTGCAGATCTACAGGAATTAGCTAAAAAGATTCATTCTCAAACATTGAGTAACTCAACACATATTTTACTACAGCTGGTTGTACAGCAACGGAATGTCTCTACAGAGTTAAATGTTGGAACACTCTCTCATTCCTTTGCTATGCTTACAGAATTTTGAAATGGTATAAAAAAGGTGCTGATTAACTCTTTAACACTAATTTTGTTTTTGAGAAAAAAGAACTATATAATGAATTATAATTTAATAATATATTAAATAATTATAATTTTAATATAAATTAACAATTATATATGATTTTATTTTATTGCAAATAACTAAAAGTTGAAGATTTCTTGATATGAAAATAAGTTTATATGTTTGATTTTTAAAGAGAAAAAGTTAAGCTGTTTTCATAAGTTTAAAAAAAATTGATTAAGTGCTTCCATGATGATATACATTTTAACAACACATATTCAAAGCCACCCAAGTTATATTCAGGCATGAACGGAAATATCAGTTAACCAGTGCTCAAGCTATTTTTTGCAATGCTTTAAGAAACAGATAAAAGATAACTGAATGGATGAACAAAACTTTATACTTTCTCAATATCTGAAATTACAAAAGCATAATATCAAAAACATGAAATCAAATAAAAAAAGAATCATTTAAATTTCTTTCCATAAGCACATGACATTTTACAGAAAAGCTGAGGCATGAATAATAATAATTTCAACTAATTAGCACTGGCAACTTGATTGCAATCAGAGGAAAAAATTCAGTACTGAACCTTTGTATTGTTTTCCTTTTCTCTCTCTCTCTCTCTCTCTCTTTCTTTTTTTTTTTTTTTTTTTTTTTTTTTGTGCCATAAAAAAAGTGATATGTCATCAATAGACATAACACAATTTAAATATTAACGGCTATTAAGCCATTATTTGAAACTAAAGTCAATTTAAAATGACTTAATACATTTTAAGACACAAAAATTAAGTGTGCTCCTCAAAGAAAAGTAATTCTGATTTTGACATTGTATAGATTTTGAAATTTGCTAATTATGAGAAATTCAGCAGTAATAAACATCACCTAAACATTTTGAGGAAAATATATTTTTTGATGGTAAATATCAATGCACTTAATTATAAGTATTTTGGAAAAAATGACATTCCTCATAGAATTTCAATGATCTTATTCACAAGAATAAATATTTATTTTACATGCAGCTCTTTTATTTCAAAATACATTACATATAATAACAATATTTTTTTAAAAAGTTGACTATCATAAATTTGTATAATTCCTTTGTGAAAGTATCAATAAAGCTTGGGATGGTGATAAGGTGTATACTCCAAGTTCTTCTAGTGCACTGCTTTTTGATTCAAAACCTTCTTGATGTTTTAAAGTTTCTCTAAGAAGCATTGCTGGTGCACTACTTAAATTTAACAGCACACAAGAATCTCTGACTCTGAAATAAAATTAAATAAACACTGATCTTCAAATTTTTTATAAAAAATTAAAGCCCATTTCCATTAGTGCACTATGAACATAGCATGTATGCAATTGTCCAATCAGCAAATGACTTTGATTGGCAGTTTGTGATGTGCTGACGAGAGACAGACTGCACAGAAATGAACCATATTCAACTTCTATCAGTATATCTGTGGAAGTGTTGGGGTCATGTGTTAAAGAGGAGCAATCAGATAATGTCAACAAAAACTAATGGAAATAGAAATATCGATGAACACCGAATCAAGGAAAGATTGTTTTACGAAAAAACGCTCATTTCTGAATTAAAAAAATGCACACATTATAGTGAGACATATGCATATTGAAAAAGACAGCAACCGATTCAATTTAGTTTTTTTAAAAAGATAACTGGAACTATGGTGTTAATTCTTATCAGCAGTGATTACTGTCAAGAAATTATTCAGATATAAAAAATATAATTAATAAGTTCATGAATTAACAAAATTTTCTCTGACAATTACTTCCCATCCCTAGTGCTGCATACACATTTACTTTTAATGAAAATGAACTTTTGATTATCACAAACAAGTAAATGAGATAAGGGATTAGAAGACTTTTTTTAAAAAAAAGAGCTAAAATGTTAATAAAGTAAGTAATAAATTAATTTGATGATCTTTTAAATATTCTGCTGCATTAAGAAGCATGCTGAATTTGTGTTTCTCTATTTATAAATGCACTTTTAAATTTATATATATTTGTATACGTATCTTTATTTCGAAAATATTTTTTGCAATCAGTTTAACTTCAATCGAAATGCTACTTAATTAATTTTTTTTAGTAGGAAATGCACTAGAAGCTGAAGATGATTTTTTAGGTGATAGCACAAAAAATGGGGTAAAAAATTTAGATTAAGAACTAATTTATTTGGTTACCTAAGTAAGGCAAATTTGAAAGCCGTGTCTGTGTGACAATAGAATGGAGCAAAGGTAGCATGGCTTGACTTTTGGTTCATGAGTTCGATCCCACACTCTTTTCCAGAATCAGTCCTCGCACCCAACAGTATTTTCTACTGTGGACTGTTAAGACAATGGCTGGTCATACAAACCACGAAATTTCCAGCACAATGGATTGGTCAAGGTGGTCCCACAGCTCCGCCACTAAGATCACCGCATCTGTCATGTTTAGACTTCTCCTGTGGGGCCATATTAAAAAGTTTTAAATCTATGAATGTCCCATTGAAATGAAATATGGATCTAATCATCAGGTTCACCATTGTTGTTGGTGATACTCGGGAAATGCCTGGTGTCTTTGCAAATGTGAGTCAGTCATTATCATGTAAGTTGGAAGCCTGCATTACAGTTGGCAAAAGGTCTTTTGAGCATGTACATCAATTACATTCCTGTTAACAAAATGTTTTCTGAAGTGTCTCATTCTTGTGTTAATTATTTGATTGTGACAGTGGAAAACTATCCTTTAACTTCTCACAGCTTGTGTTCTGACCACACATTCTATGACGAATATTGCTTGTACAGCTGCCCTCTATCACACTCTAAAATTCTGCCCACTTGTTCAGATTCACCCTGTATATGTGATAACAATGGAATGTTTTATTTATATAGTAGAAATAAAGCTTTAAATCACTGCAAAAACACTTATGAAAACTTATTTTGCACAGACGTTCCTTAACCGTTCAAGTCCCAGGGGTTATTGAAAAAACACTGTCGAAGAATCCCAAACAGCACAACCACGCTTTCTCTAAATGAGTATGAAAAGACCCAAGGAGCGCGACAGCGCTTGTTTTATTTTATCTCAAGAAATACCAAGCGACGCTACAGCACTTTCTTTATTTTACATTGATGAATCTCAATCAGAATAATAGCGCTTCTTGTATTTGTTAAGTTACGCGATTCTCATCTTTTTTCCATCGCTCCGCCATGTTTGGGTCAGTTAGCAAAGCGACTGATGTATTCTTGCATAAGTGTTTGTCATTGTTAATAATTGTGTGTTTCAAAATGATTAGACGAAGCAATGCAAAAAATAAGTAAAAAACTAATCTACATTTACTGTTTTAACTTTTTTAAATTTGGTGTACCCCTAAAAAGGTAGAATGAACCAAAAAAGAAAATCTATCAGCATAATGTTCTCCACAATGCTCGAAATGTACTGGGTTTTTCTCGACATAAAATCTCAAAGGCGCAATCGCGCTGCTTGGGACTCAAACGGTTAATATATATAATACATTTACATTTGTGAGTAAAGGGAAAGCTTATCTTTAAAACTTTTCCCATAAAAAGGGTTATGCATTTAAATTTACAAATTAATAATATTCTATTGGTTATGCATAAAATATAACTGTGCATAGTGCATTTTAAAACACAAACGAGATTTTTAATAAGTTATCCAGCTATGTGACTGAAGAAACCGATACTAAAATTTTAGGTTAAGTATCTTTTCTTACAAAATTTGGGCTTACTTTTTAAATATGCAATCTTATATGGCAGTTAATCATATATATGGAAAAGCATAGCAAATTCTGCACAAGTATTATGAAATTTTCATTACAGTTGTTCTGTACTTTTAAAGTGCCAGCTGTTTTTAAATGTGTTTAACTTCTGTTTTGAACTAACAGTATATTTTAGCTTTTATTACATATTACTTCATAAATACTTAAGGCTTCAAGAAATGCAGAAAATTTTTAAAAAATTACTTAAGCTTCTATGCAATTCGAAATGTTCAAAATGTATATGATTAGAGATGTTCATGTCTTACCTAAAACCTGCTAACATGCTTTACTTTCACAGTTCATAAGCAGATATAAAAATTTCCAATAAAATCGAATTGAAGTTTCTTAAATCCTGTAAGTTAAATACAGAGAGTCTTAATCCTGTAAGTTAAATACAGAGACATCTGGTGGCAGTAATAACCGAATTCAAGTAAGCACAAATCCAATGCAGTAGTATAAACATTTGTCCATCTTCAAATGTATTTAGCCCAATGATGCTACATGTTCGTACTGCACTAATGGAAATGGAACTTTACAACACGTTACATTTCATGAAATACATTGCAAAAAGATATGATATAAATATATGCAAAGAATATGGCAAATGAAAGATTATGCTATCAAACATTATTTACCAACAGTATTTATTTAGTAAGAAGAATAAAAGGAAGATGGGTAGAGGGACACAGCTGCCTAAACACAGTGTGTTGTTATCATAATGTTTTCAATAGAACAGGCATCAGTGCCACAGATTTACCAAAAACAGACTTGTATTTGAAGTCTCATACATTGTTTTAAGAGACAGACATCAACACATATGGAAAACGACTAAGCATGGATGCATGACAGATGCATTAGAACATCTCCCATATAGTGCAGACATAAGCATTTTAGAACCTATATAAAAAATTTATAGTCAATATGGCATTTCTGATTGGAATCAAAAATGCATGTCAAAGATACGTATGAAAAAGATACGTAGTGTATTTGGAAACTAAGTACCGGTTCATTCTAGCGCCGTCGCAGGGCTGCGGTAGGCGTTCTGCGTATGCGCACTAGTCTTTCTTGTTCACTGACTTTCAATTGTCGCCATTTTGGTTGCTCTATGTTGTGTTTTCAGTTTGCTGTACACATTCAAAATGTTTAAGACAATTAGTTCTCCCGCTGACTGTGAGATTCGTGCCGTGATTAAATTTTTGAACGCGAGGAATGTTAAACTGGCCGAAATTTATCATCAAGTGACAGAAGTTTACGGTGAATACGCGATAAGTGATGGAATGGTGAGAAAGTGGGTAAGAATGTTTAATGCAGGTCGAACAAATGGATAAAGACATACCTGTCTCATAATTATGTGTGGAGTATGGCATTGGAATATATACAGTATATGACATAAAAAAATAATAATATTCATGGATTCTAACATCCCCACACATAATGAGTAGCAGAAAAATCATTTATTATGTGATGATCATGACAAAGTGATGACTGAATGAGTAAGACAGTGCCAGAGTAAGATCATGCTGCTGAAGGCCAATGCTAATGGATCAAGTCAAAATATTTCTAGAGGAAATGAACTTAAAAACAGAGTGCACATATTTAACATGTTGGTAAACCATATCTTCAAAAAATCTTCAACTGATACTGGAGCAAATGAACTAATTGCAGATGAATTTATTCAACTCATTCATTATTAATAGAGAAAGTTATCTCCAGGACAAATTACAAAACTGATGAAACTAGTCTTTTGTGGCATGTACACTGAAATACCTTGACAATCTCTGTGAAAAAGGCTCCAGATGGTGTCAAAGAAGAAAGCGAGACTAACAATTTTAGCATGTGCAAATGCTACAGGAACATACAAGTGTAAATTTTTATAATCAGCAAAAATAGAAGACTTTGGGCATTTAAAGAATTAAAGACTTTCCCTGTTACCTGCCTTACAAATCAAACACTACAGATGACACAAACATTAATGAATGATAGGTTTAAAAATCATTTCATATCCAATGCTTGGCATCATTAGAAATTGACTAGTTTATCTGATGACATAAAACTTGCCCATGAACAACTGTTTGGCTCATCTTCATTTTGATGAAAGACAATGTCTCCATCATCTTCCTTCCTTTTAATTGTATATCCATCATTCAGCCTATGGACATCAGAATATTGTGCATGCTGAAATGCAAATATTAAGCAGCCTTTTTAAAATTTACACTAAATTTTCTGAACAGTGGCAAGACAATTCTAGAAATTTTGAAATATTTTAGCATAAAACCTGTTGTATGCAGTATTGCACAGCTGTAGAAAGATGTGTCTGCAGATATTTTTAAAAATGCTTGGCATAATTTATGGTCAGCTACCATACCTCATGGTGATGATGATGATGACAGCCATGAATCTGAAGTTCTTCAGACATCGGAAACAAAGGGTGATATTTCCCAATGAATAGGATTTATATCAAGATCTTACGTCTATTTATGAAATTAAAGAGAAAGTATTAGAAGGGAAAAAAATTAAACAAATTTCATTGAAAGAAATGTTTAATAAAGCAAAGAAGCAATTATTGATGTTTTTTTTTTTTTTTTTTTTTTTTTTTTTCCAAATTTTCATTCTTTTAAGGCAGGGGTGGGCAGACTTTCCCAGGGTATGGGCTATTTCTTAATTTTTTCAAGGTGTTACAGTCCATCCAGTGGCATAGGTGTGGTGAGCTAGAAAAAGGTCTACAATATTTATTATTATAACATAATACAGAATATGTTATTGCCTACCTAACACTACCTAAAAAAAACTTACTCTTACAAAACCGTGTTTAAAGCAAAAAGCAAGATACAAACATAATAATAATAGTTACAAATATAACAATTTCAAATGATGCATTTCTTATCAAATAATTCAAAGTACATTAAAATAATACAGTATTTTCATCTGAAGTTAGTTATCTTAATTATAGCTAGTAAAGACTTAGTCTGCATACTGTACACCAATCTTGAATATATCAGTATATAATTAATAACTGCTAATCTTGCACTGGATTTTAAGTGGTCATATGTGAGATGGGAACAATATGTTTTCTTAATTACATTCATTTTTGAAAATGCAGATTCACATAAGTAGGTAGAGCCAAAAACAATGTTAAACAAAATGCAACTTCTTTTAAGTTAGGATACTTTACTTTGTCCATGATTCCAAATGTTATTCTTAGGTTCTGAACTACATGCTTTTAAAATTATGTTATTTTGAAAGAGAAAAACTTCATTTTTCTCAAGAGGTAAAGAGAATGTATAATTTATATTTTTAGTTACTCCTTCAACATCAACAATTCGCTTTTTAATGAAAAACCTGTATCAAAACTTCCATGCATGCTTTTGAAATGCCTTTCAACGTTTCCTTTTTTTTTTTTGGAAGTGCCACACTTTCATGACATGTATAGCACACACGTTTGCATTCACCATTGTAAAGAAAAACTGTTCTTACCATTCTGTATTAAAATTGTATGTTTTTCTTTCCTTAACACTTCTTTTTGACACTGTACCCCCTCTTTAAAAATATGACAGATTACTATTTTTACTACAAAAACACATTTAACACAAAATTGTCAAGCTGAATGTTTGAAGAAATTTAGCGATAGCTAGATTGTGAAACGTGGACATATTCAATGCAGCAAGCAGCAAACTTACATAAATCGATGAATCTGTAATTGATGTATGTACTTCATCATTGTGCATTTCCAATGATGGTACATGTGTCGTCTACACATTCATCAAATCATTTGTTTAAGTAAACACAGTCTCATCGATTGTGAAAAACCGATTCTCCAGCCTAGTAGGCATCCATGTTCCCTAGATATGTTCCTTTTAGTATGCACGTCTTAGATCTTAGTAAATGCAGTCACCCCAAAATGTCTTGGTGATTCATCGGTTAATTGCAATCGACTTACTGCCCACCCCTGTTTTAGGGTCATACATGCATCATTATTTCATATTTTTAATTTTTTAACTCAATGCATCCTTTCACCAAATTCCAAAACCAGAATCATTAAAATCCCAATGAGTCTGGATCTTTGACTTTGTTCTGTAGCTAAGTTAAGAGGATTTATCCTTTGATTACAAAATAACATCAATATTTGAATTTAGCCAAGCAGTAAAATAATACGATGTATCAATAGTTATTGAAACATCAAAAAGAAGAAATCAAGGGTTTGCATAAAATTAAAATGATTTTGTGCAAATTCATGATTTAATGTTTTGGAATTTACATGAGCATGTCAAACTCTAGATTATATCATAGAGCACAAACTTTTGAAGAGTAAACTGTACTTCAGCAAACATCTCTTTAAGAATAGAAGAAATTATGTTCATACTAAAAGTTAGTTAATACTAAAAGTTAGTTAAATGTGACTTTTGAAAACATGAGGGTTACGTGAACTACATTTAGGATAACAAAACGTTACTGTTTATGTTTTTGGGTAATAATAATTAATAACACGGATTTTTCTTTCATTTAAGAGAAAATTAAATAATTAGATATGCTAATTAAATTAAATTAATTTATTTTTCAAAGAGAGAACCTAAACTTAATAAATTTCTTTAACTGAATTTATTTAACAAAGTGGAAACTAGCAGCATAGAATTAGTTTCACATTTTTTATCTGTATGTCATTCACCCAAGATGTTTATGTTTTGGTTCGCAGTCATTTAAGAATATTTTCTCATGAACATATACTCACAGTTTGAAGTAATTCTCTGGTTTTAGAGTATAACTTCCGAAAATTGGAAATAAATTACGAGTCACATCAAAATTCAGCTGAGCAGCTCCACCTTCACTGAAATTATTCTGTAGAATTACCTACAAAACAAAAGCATTACGTTAAAATACTTAAATGCATAAGAATTTTACAGATAATCCAATGCATATAATTCAGCTAAACACTAAACTAGAAAATAAAGCATGCAGACTATTTGAATTTTAATAATTTAAGCAGATTACTCACACATTCAAATTTCAAGCTTGGAAACCAAAAATACATGATTTAGCCAACCGCCCAAAAAATCAAATTGAGATTCCCTTCCTCCCCAATGATTCAAATCATCTTTCAATTATTTAATACTAAAAAGTAATTTCATTTATAACTGTATTACACTTAACTACAAAACTTTTATTACAATAACATAATTTTAATGAAACAAAAAGACAAATATCTTAGATAAACTGAACGTGAAATTAATGTTTTTCAAACACTGGCTCTCATATATGAACATAAATTTGAAACAAAAAATGAGTTTAAATTCAGCTATTCAATGTTCAAACATTCAAAACAATTTGATAAAATGTTCTGCATGATCAATTAATATGACTTTCATATTTTTTAAATAACAACAAAAAATTAGAACTAGATAATATTTAAATATTTACTTTGCAATTCAATATACTTGTAAATTTTTTGTCTTTGAAATATATACATAACAAATTACTTGACAGGGTGCAAATTATAGGCTAACATACATTTGATTAGAAATCTGACAATGCTGCATTGTTTATTCATTGCATGTGAGAGGAAGGTTTATTAATTAGATTTCAAAGAAATGAAAATAGCTTTGCTTAGTATAAATGATGGATAATATTCTGTCTAATATTGTAAATATCATTACTGTATACAGAATTTCTGCACAAAACATGACTCATGACTGATGTAATATAGAAAATTACTTGGGAAAGTATTACTATGCATTTTAATGGTAGTAAAAATATCAAAATTTTCTCCAAATGGGGGAAGTGGAATAAAAATTAAAAAAGAAAATAAAGAAAATTTCTGAATAAAATATTTTAATAATTATATTACTCACTTCTTCATATAAATAAATGTTAAGTTCAGCAGCAATTTGCTGCCAAACTTTTGTGAAAAGAGGCTTTGCCAACAATTCCTGAAGACGATACAAACTGGAGTTGATGATTTCTAACATAGGATGAGCAGCTGGAGATATTTCCAGTAATTTTTTATCATGCACAGCAGGCATACAAAACCACCTGCGACATACAAATGTAAAAATTTAAAAATCCTCCCCAAAATTTCTTGATTTCAAATAGAAACATAAACAGTACAAAAGCAAATACTTTATTTAATGCTTAGATAAAACTATGTAAATGTCATAAATAAATTTAAAAAAAAAAAAGAGAATTTGTACAAAATTTCCAAATAAGTTAAAAGGTGTTTATCCCGCCTTTACTTTATTTAATGCTTAGATAAAACTATGTAAATGTCATAAATAAATTTAAAAAAAAAAGAGAATTTGTAAAAAATTTCCAAATAAGTTAAAAGGTGTTTCTCCCGCCTTCCTAACGTGCCTTCATGGTGTAATGGTTCTGCATGCTGGGCTGGTATTTCAGAGGTCCGTGGTTTGATTCCCGCCAAAGGCTTTGCTAATTTTTCATCTCTCTTGCTTAAAAAAATAAAATAAAAAAAACCACCTTATGTCTCTACAGTAGCGCCCGAACTAAAAAGGTGATGACCGGGAGGGGGAACCCCTCTCATTATCACCATAAAGCTGCAACAACTGCTCACAGTTGGAGCTGGCGCTAGTTCTTTTACTGCCAAGTATAAATTCTGTGACCCCTACATTTTGATATTTGGCTCCTTCCTCAATTCTAAAACTTCTACCACCTGGAATGACAATGCTGGTTGCACTTGCTCTGATGCCTACTCTGTTCACAACAATAAACATGCAACTGTTTTTGAATTCATCAAAATGTTAGGTTAACCCATCTGGCAGAAACTTTGCTCATGTGAAATTGTTTATATAGAATGCACAAAACAATTATTTTAGAAAGATCTATCTTGCCATTATCTCCTATAATTTATATTTCCTTCTGGACATGAGCAATGTTTTCTGATATTAGTGCTTCCAATGGTCTACCTGCACAAGCATAATCTTTCTCTGGCTCATGTAATATTGTTTTACCCTTCCTTTTACTGTACAGAAGAAATGAGATGAATCACAATACACATGATCCAAGCACTACTCCTGTTTTATTTCTTTGAGATTAAGACCTTCTTTAGTCAAAAGTTTAATAATCACAGCATGATACTCAGTTTTAAACACTTTAGAACATTATGTCATTCAGTAAAAAGTAAAAAAAAAAAGTCTTTTCTAAGGAATTTTTCAGATTTATACATTTAGTATTTTTATCATGCATCTGCAACAAGAATTTATTGCCAAATGATTTTTAATATATAATTCCAAAAACTTTTGGATCTACTGATCCATTTTAAGTTACATGTTTAATGTACTTAGGTTATTCTTCAGATGGAGACTTTACTAAAAAATGATGCAGTATAAGTATTTATTCGTGATATTTTATATTAAAATATATTACTTAAAGTATATGCAAATTCAGAAAATTTCAGTCGTAGTATATAGACAATATATCTAATAAATTTTGTAACACAAAGATGTTTCATGTTAATATTTTTTTAACACTGCAAAATTATTATATGAAGTAAAATTAAACAAAATCTAGAATTAATAGACACAGAAAATATATAAACGCTTCTGCAGAATTCTATTAAGGGTTTATACAAAAAAAAAATATATAAATTAACACAAATATGAAAAAAGCACACAATCTTAAAATATTAGACCTTTAATTGATAATAATGTATTAGACCTTTGATTATATACTTTAATATTAATACATTAGATCTTCAACTATAAAATTCAGATTTTTAAAATGTAAAATTTACTTCACTCTCAGTTTTAAAAATTTGAAAAATAAACTTGTATTTAAAAATTCATATTATTAACCCACAGCAACACACAGAGAACTTACTTTTCTTTCCTGTATGGTCTGCTCTTTGCTTTAATGTCAAGCATAACCCGTTCACATAAAATCTGCAACAGATCTTTTAATATGTGTTGAAAAAGTCCAATTGGCTCATCAAAAACTGAAGCTTCCAACAACTGTTCCTCAGAATGTATGGAAAATCTGGCTTCTTTCCTTTTCATAATATTCATATGCTGTTTATCAGGATCTGCAAATATCATAAATTAACATAAATAAATAATGAATGGCAATTGCTAAATACCACTTTAAAATATGCTACTTAATATTAACATTATAAACAATACATATTTGTAAATATTAAGAAAAATAAATGCAATATGAAATAAAAGAATTAAAATACAGTAGAATTTCTATTAACTGGGAACCTGCTAATCTAAATGTCTATTTAACTAAACCAAACTCAATCAAAAAACAAAAAGCAAAAACAAAAAAACAAAAAAAAAAAAAAAAAAAAAACTACTGGTAAAACATAGATTACTAAAATATACAATGTAGAATGAAAATCAGTAGTATTCATAGATTCTCGTATTAATAACTGATCTTCTGGCCATTTTTTTGAGCGGAGTTGACAATGAACTGTTTTATATGATATAAACACGTGAAGTTTCATACGATAAAAATACGGGAAGACATAGTTCAAGATGGTTTAGTTTGGTTTATTTAATTATGGCAAAGCATTCAAGGCCTAGTTGCCTAAGGAGACGGATGTCTCTGTGGAGGACTTCTTCGGGGGTAACTGGCCCGTATACACATTACAAATGGAGAAAACTATGAAAATGTCCATGCAGCCAGCTCGTTCACTGGGATTCAAATCATGGACTGAACTGTCAGTGTTCAGCAACTTTTACCGCTTGGCTGCACGTAGGCCCTCCCTTAAAATAAAATTTTGGAATAGATAAATGTAGAAATTAGTTGAATCAGGTTTTCAAGTTTTGAGTGATGAAGAAATCACTTGTGTCATGGATCTGAAGAACATCAAAAATTGCAGTCAAGAGGATATGCTGAAGATGTGAAGAAACAGGAACAATGTGAAATTAATTAGCCATAATACTAAAGGGCCTATATCAAAGCCCTTTAGTATTTAGTCCTTACTTTAGCTTCTACGCAAGTTATCCCCAGCATTTTCGACAATCAGAGCAGTTGACACCCAGAATAAATTAACCATTTTATTAATTAACACAAAATATATTTTCATCTACATGTTACTTGTAAGAAAAACTTATCTCATGATCTCTGATAACTGATACCCTAGGTGGCTATCTGTGTCTTCTATGCTTGCAGCCGACCCAGCTATGGATCTTTCACTGATCACTGATCAACATGTGGCATGAGTATGCAGCATATAATATGAATTATAGAAACACTGCCAAAATGGACAATAGATTTTTTTCCAAAATACAGTCAAAAGTCGTTAATCCAGACTCGTCGGGACTTCGGCGATCGATTTTTCCGGATTATAGATCATGAGTTTAAATCTCATAAGATGGCATGCAGAAACTCTAAAATTAAAAATATGAAACCGTAATTTATGAAATAAAGAACAATTATGATCTAAAGGGTATCAAAATTTACAAAAAAAAAAAAAAAAAAAAAAAAAAAGCTTAATATTTATTTGTTTACTTTATTAAACATTTCTTTCAATGTAATAAAAAATTTTAAGTTGCTTCGTTTATGTGATAATACTTTTTCTTTAATTCTATAAACAGACATAATTTCTGTTCAGTTACAAAGTTCCGCTGTTCAAGTCCCGTAATTGCTTGCTGTGCCGAGAATACTACTAACTTGTCAATCGAAATTTTTTTTTCGTTTTCACTAACCTCTCTGTCACCTTCTTCATATCTTTATCCATTTTTTGCAGCAATTCCACTTTTTGTTTGATGGACATCGAAGCATACTTTCGTTTTGTAGATCCTTTGGGAGCTTCAGCGTCGGAAATTCTATTTGACATAATCGAAAGTTCAAGTTTACTTTTATAAAATTGCTCTTACAGTCTGCAAAAAATAATAAGCCGGATCCAATTCGAAGATTAGGAACAACGCAATCATCAACATTAACTGAAATAGATAATTAGCTTATACTGTCCGTTATACATAAAACGCGCACGCGAAAACGTATTCTGCACTTGCGCACACGCATATGCACAGTCGTAAAGGTCTTATGTGCGCACGCGTAAACGCCTATGCGCATGTGTCAACGCGGCGTATGCGCAGAAAGTTTTTAGCTTTGAGGTCCGGATTATGGGTGTCCGAATTAACGACTTTTGACTGTATCATGTCTCATATGTACAAAATTTGAAAATATTTAACAATTTGCATCAATTTTTGATGAAAATTGTACATTTCAGTTTTTGTTTTCTTTTCAAGAATATTTTTGTCATGAAATAAGATGTAACTTGTATTATTTGTTTAATTGAAAAATAAGTTTTATTTACTAAAAAAAAGAGTTCTGTAAAATATTAACAACAGAGCTTGTGCACTATTGTTAACTGTTGTTCTCTTCTTCAAATAAACAGCTTCATTAAAACCTTGTTGAAAGAAAAGTTATTGAAAATTTAGTCTGCATTAACTGAGATGCTTATGGTTCCAATTAATTCAGACATCTGAGCTTCTACTATATATTTTACATATTTCAAACCATGTATAAAAGCTTATTACTAATCAAGAATATAAACCAAAACATAAATTGAACAAATTAATTTCCCACTATTAATATAATTGATGGGACAACATATACGGCCAAAAATGTTTATATACCAAATGTAACTATGAGTAGGATGTCTAAAAAACCCTGATTGCAACTTTGGTTTCTGAACTACTGATGAAAACTAATGCTTCTTATAGATAAATAGTTTAAATACTACAAAGAATTAGGTTATTACATTTTTCAGTTTTATTCAAAAGAGCTACTTCCTTAAGGAAAATATAGTAAATCTCAAACGCATTAAGAATTTTCTCAGGAATATTTTCACTAAAACAACACCTACTGAACAAGAATCATCAGATCACAAACCAGTACAAAAGGCTAAATTGTCTAAAATTTCAAATAATTCATAGCAAAAACCAAAAATTGATAACATTCAATATGGCCACCAATGATTAGCCGTAACAGATTAGTATTCTGGAGCTATATGAAAAAATATGTATGCTTAAGATTTAATATTTTTTGATTAAAAAAATCATAACAACCTCTAATGCTGCTGACTATCATTTAAGGCACTTCCAAGATGAAGCAATTAACAGTCATATAAAACATATTTATAAAAATATTACACAAATAAGAAAACAACCATATTAAGAAAGGTAGATTTTAAACCATTGAATAAAAATATTAAATTACAATAATTTGTGCATCAAAAACTTCTGTGGCATTTACCACATTCTAGGAAAATATGATTTCCTTGATTTTTTCTAAATATATGAATTTCACCAAAACTGCAAAACAAGTTTTAAATACCCAACACAGCAATATTGATCTAGACTTCTCTCAATATGATTTTTTTTAAATTTGTTTATTTTATTTATTTACCAAAAACATTTCTGTTACAAATACGCCTGAATTCAAAAATACTGTGAACTTTAAGTATCTAATATATGATCATATACACTTATTTTTTTTTTCATCAAGAATTCATGCTAATAATTCAACATAAGAATTTTCTTCTTAGACATAAACACCCAAAATCCGGATACTTAGATATTTTTTTAAAATTGAATTAATGGTGAATGTAAAACACTTTTTTAATGACAGAATCCAAAATGAATTTTATTTATCATTTATGTAAGATACACAATGTATAACAAAATTCCAGACTAAGATACACAATGTATTAAATATAAAAATGATTATTTGGAGCCTAATGACATTTTAATACAAAGTGCTAAAATGCTTTTGAAATTTACCTTTTAGCAGTTCTTCACACACAAGTTTGTTCTTTTTATATGCATAAAGTTGCAAGAAAAACTAAAATAGTAATAATAATAAATTTTCAAATGCAAATAATGATGTCATGATATCTAAAAAGGCATTTAATATAATACAGTACTTTCTGATTATCTGCACTTCCACTTGCAAATACATTGCCCCTTCCCCCAAAAAAAAGCTTATTTGGCTAACTTTATGGATTACAGGTGCCGTTCTGTTCATAAATAATTAAAGGAGCAATCCCTAAGAAACAAGAAATTTCACGAGACAAAATGCGAAAATCTATGTGGCTGATATTTACATTTTTATGGTCTATGAATACCGTTCACCAAAATGAGGTTAAATATAAAGTATATAAAGCCACATATATTCAAACATGTGCATGCATGAGTTGGCCATTTCCATGTGTATATTACAAAATATACTAAAAATATGGCAGTTTTACTACATGTTTACCTTGAGGGTCCAGATAATCAAAAAGGATCCAAAATACATCATCTTTGGTATAATTGCATATTTCAAATACTTCATAATAATACTATGCAATCTATTTCAAATGATGCATAAAATGTTCATTACAAAATACGATTAAAAGGATTTGAAAAGAGAAAATTAATAAATTATCAAAAAACAAACCATATGAATAAATCTCATTATGAAAATTTTTATTAAAATGAGTAAGTAGAGTATTTAACAATGAACAATTCGCATGAAAAATAGATTTCATGCATAGAAGAAAGGGGGAAAAATAGAGTGATGGTTAGATATTTAGTATATTTTTAGAACATAAAACTAAATATATTATTTTATCATAAATAGCTGAATGCAATATTATTTATTATCTGTTTCTATCATTATTTTATAAAAATCCAAATAGATTAATGCAATTTTTTCCTACATTCTAATTAAAACATAATTGGAAGTTCAATTTTGTTTTGGAATCATAGATTACTTTGAATAGTTTTACTGGGGGGGGACCTGTTTATAAATTTAGGATTTTTATCATGTGTTAAGTAGCTGTAGTAAACAATATGTCTACAAACAAGAAAATTATACAATGTTTTTACATATATAACATTTAATTAAGACACAATAACATGCCGAACAAATACTAATTCAGAAGTCAAACAACAAAAATCAGCATTATATTTTCAAAATTTTCACAGGACAAGTTTCGATGGTTTTACCGAACCACTATCCTCAGCTGCAAAACCGCAAATGGATGCGCAAATGTGAATCCATTTGCGTTTTTGAAGCTGAGGATGGTGGTTCGGTAAAATCATCGAAACTAGTCTTTTGAAAATTTTAAAAATATAACGCTGATTTTTGTTGTTTGACTTCTGAATTAGTATATAACATTTATTAAAAGGGATAAAATAATAGATTCAGAAATTGGAAAATGGGAGGTGAAAGATTTTAATCTTACTGGTAAATTGTTCCACTCTTCCAAGACTGTTGTAATGTAATAAATTGCATTCATTATACTACAATAGTTTGGCTGAATTGTGTCCTGCATCTCGCACTGTGACAATTGATGTAATCTAAGTCTAAAATCATCTAAAAGCTCTAGTTGAAGTTCCAGGAAAGAAAGCTGGCATTCTTTATCTGCCAGATTGCAGTACCTTTCTGCATAGACAGAATATAAAATTTAGATATAGTATAAAAAATGAATTATGTTCAAGATTTAAACAAATTGAATAATTAATTATATATTGGTCTAAGTTTGAGGATATGTAAGTAAGTGGATCCTATATTTTGAAGGCATTTTACAAAGATTAAAAGAAAAAAAAATGACTTGCTTATAAGAAATGTCAATCAGTAAGTTGAATATATTATGCATGAAAAAATATTTAAATGTTTTAGACTATTTAAATAACATCTCCAACAACATATAAAGCATCTAAGCAAAAGTTAATATAAAGTATATATGCTTTCTTTTAATAAAGTGATATATAATTTATGTGCCACTTAGGATATATATTAGACTACATAGCACTATTAAAAATATGTATTATAACATAAATTCTGACATTTTCTGAAAGGATATATAAATTTTTTCCATATTTCAATTCTACACCTTAAATTATGTTAAACTGCTCAGTTTTGTAAAAATCGCAGCAGCTGTTTTTTAAAAATTCGCACTCAAAACTTTAACTTCATAATATTAATTGAATTTAATACATATTCAATACCATCTCTTTATTTCATTATGCTTAATTTCTTCATTCATTATTTGAAATTTAGGTTCACCCCTAGTAAAATGTACATATTTTTTCTGATTTATTTTAAAAATTAGTATTTTCAAATAATTTTTTAAAGCTTTTTGAAGGGAAAAAAATATTATAAGTTACACATCTATCAACACAAACTTTAAGTAGACATATTTCTTGGCATATCCGCATAAAAAAATTAGGGATTTTTTTATTAAAAAAAAATTGAAGATATATTCTATGTTGGTAGATTTTGAAATCTTGCATCTTGTAATAAGCAAAAATAATGACACATGTGATTTATGCATCTTGTTACAACCTTCAATGAACTGCCACAGATATTCTTAACCTTATATTTCCATACAAAATTTTACTGATGATTACTCATATAGAATTTATTCTCATTTTTACAAATGAAAAATAATAAATACTTATTAATAATACATAGAAAGAGTTTTTTAAATTATAATAAACATGAATCCAATTTTTAACATATATATATACATGTTCGTAAAAGTATATTTTTTATCTTTGTTATGTTAATGTTTGTTTTTTTACTTTAATTTCATTAAAATGAATTTTTAAAAACTGAGAAAGTTGGTTTTAATGAAAATATTAAAAACAATAATTGATTAATTAAAATACAAAACATCCTGTATCAAAGGTGTGCTAATTTAATAAAATTTTAGCATTTTATTAACTGAAATTATGTCAGTTAATAATAATAAGTAACCTTGTCTTATTGTGTAATTAATTAAAATAAAAGAACTTTATAATTAAAATAAAATTTTAAATAAATAGTAAATTACTATTACTATCTCAAAATGTTACATAGATGAACTCATAACAGTATATTCTGAAATATACAACTTGATATTGATGCTAGTTCCTGAATACTTTGGAATGAATATAGATTGAAGCATTATATGCAAATGCATGTCTAAAACCGGAATATATTTTTATAACTAGATCCAAAACAAATACAGTAAGGGGATTCAGAAAATTAACATTCTTATTACACGTGTATAGACAGTTAGTAAATACATAAATTAATAATATTCAAATCTACAATATTTTAAATGCAAGCTTTATTCTTTATTAAAAAATCTGACATTGATCTAAACTATCTCTTGATTAAAAAATCTGATTTCATACTAAATTAAAATTTTCAAAATTTACACTTTTGCCTTCTTTTTCAATATCTCATCACATTATGCTATATTATTTGAATATGGCAAAACACCAGTTATCTGCCTAAGAGAAGGCATGCTTTCAGAGAGGATTTTCTAAGGAAAACTAGTTTGTATTCACATTACACATGGGCAAACTATGAGAATGCAGCCAGCCAGTTCACTTGGGTTAGTATTAGTGGTCTTAACCTTCTGGCCACCTACTTAAATTAAGAACCAGGTTATTAGTCTAATTTGTTATTTTATTTGTAAAACATTAAAATATCATTACATTCTCAGGCACCAAAAAATGGAGTTTATGTTTTGTTAAAATATTATTTTGCAAACTACTAAGCCATTGTGCAAATGAATGTTCAGTTACAGAATTTCCTGTGATGTTGGAAGATTAAACAGGGGTTAGAGTTTTAGACTATGACATTAAATTTATCCTATAAAGTGAAATGTCAAAACCATTCTGCAATTTCAAATATTTGGCTGAATAGCTGACTTAAAATAGCTGAGAATTAAGGAGATGATTTTTAATCTTGCATTACATAGTTGAAAACTGTTATTCCAGATGCACTGATGATGTACACTTCTGTTCAAAAAACAATCAACAAAGGCATAATAAAACAAAAACCTCTTTAATAGATATGCATGAAATTGATCAAAGGGATTGGTGTGGTATTACTGGACCACATAGCAAACAATAAAACAAAGATGTATAAAACTACATGTATTACGACCATTACATCACTAAAGACAAAAACGGACTGGAAGAAAGTGCAAAGGAAACATGCTAATAATGGGCATTATGCCCTCTAGCTCAAATACATGCTTATCAATGGTGAGGGAAGCTGGCAACAGCATAGTTGCTCGCCTGTTGTGGCAGTAGCACCCATTCCTGTAGTAATGCATATTGGAGCTTGTTATTTTTAGTTAATTAGTAATTAGGTGAATATGTATGTCTATTTAAAAAAAAAAGATTTGTTTATTTATATATTTATCATTTTAAATGGGCTTACCAGACATTGTGGTTTGACTGGGATTACCTAAGTTTGAAGGTCTAGTCCTGATGTCCCAGTTAGTTTGCCATTTTTTCCTGTCATTTGTTAAAGATTAAAAAATCTCAAATATACATGAATTAAAAACTATTATTAATGCCCTCTGTATTACAGTACTGTATGCTACTGTTTGTAGATGGTGCCATATGCACAACATAATAAATTGAATTGAAAAAATATCAAAATTTTGTTGAACTAATGGACTAATTGGTGGATTCAGGGTTGCCACTCAAACAGGAGAATGAAATTCCCTGACTTTTCCAGGTTTTCCAGGTGTGTTTCAAGAAAATTCCAGTCTATCTGCGTAATGTATGTTGGCTGTGCTAAGAGGTAAATTAATTATGGTATTACTTGTATTGTGTAGCAAATTCACTTAATTATTCAATAAATCCAGAGGACATTTATTCTTAATTATTCTTGGTATACTTTGTTTGATAATTTTGTTTAGTTTTCCACTTAATAAAATTTAAGATATATACATTGGATAACAAATGTATGTTTTATTTAATTATTACTCATGATCATCACCAGTTCAACACGAGGCTAATCCGGTCCTTATAAATCACAACGCAATGCTAAATAGTTAGGTTAGATTTTAGGTAAATTTAATTTGCGTGAGGTATGTTTTTAAAAGGCACCTTAACACTTGAAAACACAAATATAATTATAATAGTTGTTGTTTTCTCCACTGAAGATTGAGATTAGAATCTTCCCAATCTGGAACAAAATAAGTTTTTTTTTTTTTTTTTTTTTTTTTTTTTTTTGCAGACATTCTGCTAAACGGAAGAAAGAAATCTATTTTAATAAATTGAGGTATTTTATATTTATTTCGCAGCATACATAAGGAAAAAAATATGTGCATTAAATTTCGTGATGGTATGTCATCAGACTGCTATAATTAATTTCAGGATTATGCCGGGAGAAAATTTCCTGAAATTTGGAAATATTATTACTAATAATAAATAAATTTAGAGGGAAGAAGCAACATTAAATTATATGAATAAACATAAAATAATTACTTAAAAATTGAATTAGAATAATCAACGATATTTTAGGGAATATAGTTATATTACATGGCTAGCCTAGATGACTGATTACTATTTTTTTATTTTACTGCAAAATGGCAAGGTATTTATTAAAAAGAAAAAAAAAAAAAAAAAGGTTTTTTAAAAAAGATTTTGCGGTATAAAAATTCTAGTATACGGTAAGGCTTTGGCACGATTTTGAAAATTCTCGCCAAGACCAAAATGACCCGTTTACTGCGCATCATGATGTCGCCAAATCCATTATTATTTCTAACCAAAGAACGTCTATGTAAAGAAGAAAAGGTTCCATACAAGTAAAATGCTATTACGGCCGTTAGAATGCGGAGGGAAAATTTGCCAGGGATTTGGCGACGGAACCTGGCGGCCAGAATTTCCCTCTCCGCGATGTGTACAGGAAATTGAGAAACACGTGTTAAGAGAAAAACGCTCTTTGACAAAAGGAAAACTACGAAAATCCGTTTTAAATTATTGCGAAAAATCCCGCATAATTTTTAAAAACGGATTTTTCGTAGTTCTTTTTTCCCCTGAAAATAACTAATCCATGAATTAATTTACTTGCGCCCAAAATATTTTCTTTTCCTTTAGAGTTTAACCACTTGCGCTAAGACTAAACTTCACGGTTGCGGTGCCGTGCGCTACAATATAACAAGCGGTTAAAGTGTCTCATTTACGCCGCTCCCGCATCTGCGGAGTGCAATCCAGAGCTTGTAACTCGAGAAATAAACAATCTCGTTGTTAGGCGACGTGTGCACCACGTTATTTTCATTTTTGCGATAAATGCTTATCGACGTGGTGTTCACGTCGCTCACGGTTTGAGACAAAAGCATCTCGACGTGCGTGGCACGTCTTTTTAGCGCAAGTCGTTAAAGAAATTTTAAACGATATTCATTTTATGAACTCTTGATAACGTAACCTTCGAACTTCGACACCGGTTTCGAGCTTTGGCAACAGATATATCAGACATGCACAGCTGTTTCCCTCTATGATGGAACGGAGCCACGTCTGTTGCAGAGAGGTTTTCCTTCTTTACAATACATATTCTTTGATTCTAACCTCCATGGTACGGTATACTAGGATAAACCCATTTTGTTTTATACGAGAAACAGGTACTTTCTTTAGTTCATGCATGCACATGCGATTCTCGAGAATACTGGAAACCAAAAGTTGCGGGAAAGTTGCTTTGCCTTTCTAAAAGACAATCAAATTGGAGCTGCGAAAATTGGCTCTATGCCAGCTACCCAATGACACTCACGTGATACATAATTCGCCCAAAAAGTTATCTCTTCCGACGTCGGCGCAAAAATCGCTTTTTTTGGCGGGATCGTTGTATGTGAACTTTTCCAAATTTTTTGACAAAATACTAAATTCCCTGAATTCCCTGACTTTTCCCGGTTCTCCCGGTAGCGTGGCAACCCTGTGGATTTACGTTTTCTTACAGGCATAAGTGAATTATTTAAACTTGGAGCTGCAGACAAACATATAGCTTTACTGACAAGATCTGTTATGCTATCTACATCCAAACTTGTTTTATGGATTTCACATCTAAAGATGAAAATATATCATATTTGTTAACAACCCTCAATTACTTCAAGACCACTTAAGACTATTTCAGTAGCTTAATATTATCGAGCCAATGGTCAACGTTTTCATCAATCCTTTTACCAGCCATAAAAATGTAATTAAAATAGCTGCATAAATTTCATAGTTTATTCAAAGCAAGAAAGGAAGAACTGGAGTTAGAAATTATGGATCTTCAAAATGGTACTGCAATAAAATCCAATGTATCAGATTAAAATTTCTGGAACATAGTTAATTTCCATTTTTGAAAACAACACCATACAAGAAAATATCATTTTTGGTTCCACATACAAGTGTGTTCCACATACATGTACTAGCATTGTTTCTAACAATGTATATCACAAAATCAAAATATAGATTTAAGACTAGAATATAGATAGACTAGATCAACATATTCATGACTGCTTACAAGCAGGATATGAACCAATGGTTAATGAAATGCAATCCCAAATATTACACTAACTTTAAGTATATCTTAAAGAATAAGATGACATTTTTTATAAAGAATTTTTATACCAATGACTGTTTAAATTAGTAATTACTTATTACAATTAGTAATTATTAGTAATTACATAAGAAAACAAATAAAAAAAATTTTAACGTAAAATTATATTCTAGGAATACTTTTTTTAGTATATTATGTGTATTTTTAACTATTTCAACCTATAAATTGAAAAAAAAAAATATGCCTGCCACTTCACAAGTATTCATTCTCTAAGGAGGAAAAAGAGCTGTGCTCAATGATTTAGATTATTTGCACCTGATTTTAAGACTGGATCACTAGATGGTATAGGATAAATGGTGTATTCAGTTAGTCAAAAAAGTTTGGGATATATATTTTTCCTCTATCATTTGGTAAACATGTTTTTTAACTCAACCATTTGTCCTGTGCTTTATTTTTAAACTTAATTTGTAACTAAAATATCTAGAAAATGTAAAGTGGTTTCCCTGAAAGATACAACTTAAATTTTATGAGACTTTGACAAGAATACAAAATTTATCAGAATATAACTGTTGAAAAAACTGAATATTGTATCAGCATTGAAAAATTATTTTGGAAGGAAGGGAACTAGAAGAACAACAGTTTGTAAAAAATTTGCTTCAAAGAAACTGTGTATTCAAAAAGAAAATATCTGGATATTCAAAACCATATTTTGCTGAAGTTTTTCACTCAATGCTGAGTGACAAACATTGGAAGAAATGTTAACAGAAAAAACACAAGAAATAACATTACGAGTGAAAGTGAAAAGCAACTAATTTTTCACTGGAGTGCAGTATAAATTAAAATTATATCATAGAATGTTTATATCATATCATAAACAGAGAATCCAAAGATGTTTCAGCAGAATTTGTTGAAGATTCAAGAATTTATTCAAACAAGTATATGGGTATCAGATAAAAATATCTTAAAGGTTGATGAAATGAAACTACTCTTTCCTTTCATGTCCTGGTTTGATAAATGCCTAGTCTCTTAAGACCTAAAGTATCATGGTCAAAAATCGCTTCATTATTTTATGCTGAGCCAATACTGATGTAACCAAAGGAGATACCTCTACTCATAATTATGTTACAAAGTATATTTCAGAAATGTTTAGGATAAATATGTAGCTGAAGTTAAATATTTACCAGTCATAGTGAGAAGAAGCGTGACAAAAAGCTCAGCACTTTCTGGAACCAACATATCATCTACATCACTTTCATCTTGATATCGAGATTTCCAAGCAGTCTCTAAGCTTAAGAACCTATCCATTTTTTCCAAGGCACCTGAAATTAAACAGAAATGTTAACACAGCAAAAACACTTTTGCATTTGATAACTTAAGAAATTCCAACTCACTTTGGTGCTCAAGAGATCGCCATTGTGTAAAACATGGCTCTGTGGTCAACAGTGCCATAACATTTGGATAACTTAATGGATAACCTTGATTTTGAAGTTCTTGGGAAAATAACAGGATTTCATCAATAGTATGACTAAGTAATCTGTCATCATCAACCAAGCATGGTAGATCTGATTTTAAACGCATGACGGCTAGATTAACTAAACCCCTCATTAACTGTGTCTGAAAATAATAATAAATCACAGCAATTATACACTCATATTAAAATTTATAACTTAACTAAATAAGGAAAATTTGAAATAAACTTTTCATTTATGTATCATAAAAAAATATGTTTAAATGTAAAAGATCAACTTTCACATTAAAAATTGAAGATACAAGCAAACATATTATATAATTTAAAAGTTACAGATTATATTTAAGGAGATGAATGAGCATCTTACAATTTAATCTAATTGCAGGTTGCAATGGTGAAATTTATAAATCTGATTATTTATAGGTCTGTAGTTATGTACGTTTTAGTAACATGCAATATTAATACTGCATTTTCTAAGCCTTTTTTTTTAAATTTTATGCTACAAACTGGAATGTTGCTGTTTCATGAATGTAAGAAAATTATTATGCATAAAAGACATAGCTTAGTTTTTACCATCCTCCCATTTCCATGTAAATATGTTTTTCTCTTAATAACAATTTTACAGAGTCATAGTTTTGGCATATGGCTAAATAAATTGCTATAGGATGAAAATTACATTTTATACATTATATAATTCAGATTTAAGGGGATGGGACCACAGTTATCAGAATGACTTTCTCCTTTGATATGTAAAAGACTTGAAAAAGTAATTAAGCAAAAAATAAAACCTATTTTAATTTTGATTATATAGCACTATATTATATATTAAAAATTTCAGCATCAATATATGCAATTAATGTGTTTGTCTCTATTAAAATAGCATATATTCAATACACCCATGCGAATAAAGAACTTTAATTTCCCTAATGGTCATAACACATATGTTCCTTAATTTTAAAAAGATTTCACTTACCAGATTTATACTTTTTCTTACTGAATTTTTAATTATTTCAAAGAATGTGGAAATATAGCTATTGCATCGACATATAATTCAGAAATACTTTATGAATAAATACAAAATTTGCTTAAAAAAAGAATGTAAAAATTTCCTTATATTTTAATTTTTTCTGCAAACCATCAACAAAAAACTCACTCTTGCATTAATTTTAGACAATCCTTCTCTATCTAAAATAGGCTGCACAGACTTTTCCATGAAACGTGTATGATCAGAGATCCACGTAAGAATTTGAGTAAGATACCATTCTGGCTGTAATAAAAACAATAATTCAAAGTTATGTATGAAATATAGATAAAATAGAGGTTATAGTTCATAAAAAACTTAAATAAATAAGTTAATAATATACTTGAATATAAATAAATATAATTAAGGACATAAAAGATATAAAAGAAAGATTATTTAAGTTATTTTAATTCTAAGATGTTATATAATTTCAATTCAACGTTAGTTCAAACAGTTACAATTCAATAATGATTGTCAGGAATTACATTCTGTACAACACTTACAAAACAATACTAATTATCAAATTATCATGAAGGAAAGACTGAAGTTCCTACTTAGTTTTCTCAATATAAAAAAATCATTTAAAAGAAACTGAGAATTGTATCTAAAATACAAATTTCTTATTAAAGAGCTTTCTTTCACATTACAGATAAAAAATGGCAAGACTAAATTTAGATCATTAAAAATTAATAAACTAATTGGACAAATTCCAAAAAAAGAATTAAAATTGAAGTTAATACGAGTTTTTATATCAATATAAATTCACCAATTAATAAAGGAGAAATTTATACCTGTACCTTTTTGAAAGAATACCTAAATTTTAAACCATTAGTCATTGTACATAGCGTATTCGGAAACAAAGTACCGTTTCATTCTATCGCCGTCGCAGCGCTGTAGTAGGCGTCCCGCGCATGCGCACTAGTCTTTCTTGTTCACTGACTTTCAATTGTCGCCATTTTGGTTGCTCTATGTTGTGTTTTCAGTTTGTTGTGCACATTCAAAATGTTTAAGACAATTAGTTCTCTGGCTGACTGTGATATTCGTTCAGTGATTAAATTTTTGAACGCAAGGAATGTTAAACCGGCCGAAATTTATCGTCAAGTGACAGGAGACCGGAGACCACTGGGTGAGCAGCTGTGCCGCCATTAAGACTTTCAGCTTTATTGCTCACTCAGTGGGACCACGTTTATTTAAAAATTATTACAATAATTATTTTAATTACAATAATTCTTAAATAGTTCCTGTTCATTATGTGCACAGTCATAAGTCTTTAAAGTTTATTTATCTGTTGAAGTTAATAATTAGTCTGAAAGTAAGTTCTGATAAAGCTTGAGAAATTTATCGTTAGTGTGAAGTAAGTTCATATTTGTTGATTGAAGTTGGGCTGTCTTGAAGTGATGCTAATTATGCCGAAAAAATGCTGATGTGGATTTGTGATGCCTTAATTTATGCTGCCTTAGATTATCACAATTTTCTATGAGATATTCCATTAAATTATGAAGTTTTTTTTGCAGAGAGATTTACTTCTGAGTAGTTGTTTGAACCATCCTTGGGCATTTTCACTTGTGAAAGGACGAAAGTGGAGGTCTTTAGTGATTGTACATTCAAACAGGACTATTGTCCTTTGATCCACATATACAGTTGTCTGTATGATACAAGTCGGAACGAAAGAGGTATGAAAAGAAGAGTCCATGTGCTGTTGGAAGGTATGTTATTGCATTATTTGTTGTAACTAAATTTCGTGTTGGTTTTGGTAGAAACATAAAAGTTCGTCTGCCGTATTATCTTGTGACCACATGAGTTTCCACTGAAAAATTAAGTCTTGTTCAAGTCTTGATTTTAAAAGTGATATTGGATTTGTTAAATAGGTTATTGCTGTTTATAGTACTATTTGCTGCTCTTTTGCAAGCTATCTGCCATTCGTTGCCCAATGTTTCCACCGTGGGCACGTGTCAATGTAGTTTAGATTTTTGTCCAGTTGGAAAATATGTGAGTTAATATTGTATATCTTGAATAAAAGGAAGCGATTATGACCAGCTATTGCTTGAATACTTGATGCACTGTCAGAAATTATAAACACTGGTTATTGAGAATTGCTTTGCATATGTCATTGCTTCTCTTATAGCCAATAGTCTGCTTGAAATACTGAATTTGTATGATCAATTTTGTTTTCCAGGTTTGTATAAGATATTATTTCTGAAAATGCAATAAGCACTGCCTACGCCTAACTCTGTTTTTGATCATCTGTAAAATTTGAATTTGAAAATGATCTAATATTTGAATTTTACTATAGATTTTGAATATAATGATTGGATGTAAGTTTCTTTGTTTGAGTTTCTATCTTTGGATATAGTTTAGATTAATGGTTGTTTGTCGGGGCGGCAACTATGTTTTAACGCTCTTTAAAATCAGAATTGGGGCTCCTGAAATTTTTGTGAACTGGTGGTGTGTTCTATTGTTCAAGTGACAGAAGTTTACGGTGAATACGCGATAAGTGATGGAATGGTGAGAAAGTGGGTAAGAATGTTTAATGCAGGTCGAACAAATGTCCACGCCGAGGCTCGGAGTGGTCGGCCTTCTGTTGTCACCGATGATTTGGTAAGGAAAGTTGATGAAGCAATTCATGAGAACAGACGCTTCACAATGACAACTCTTTCAGAGGCATTTCCACAAATTTCACGTACTGTTTTGTTCGAAATTGTGTCTGACCGCTTGAATTATCGCAAACTGTGTTCCCGATGGGTTCCAAAAATGCTCACTGATGTTCACAAAACAAAGCGACTTGGTAGTGCCCTGACATTTCTCACGCGGTACAGTGATGAGGGAGAAAACTTTTTAAACCAAATTGTGACAGGTGATGAAACTTGGGTGTGTCATTTCACACCAGAATCGAAACAACAATCGATGGAGTGGAGACACACTCATTCTCCGAAAAAAAAAAAAGTTCAAAGTGACAATGTCATCACAAAAAATCATGTGCACTGTCTTCTGGGATAGGAAAGGCGTTTTGCTTACTGAATTTCTTCCCAGAGGTGAAACCATTAATGCGGCACGATATTGTGAGACTTTAACAAAACTAAGGCGTGCCATTCAAAAAAAAAACGAAGAGGAATGCTCAGTAAAGGAATTGTGTTGCTCCATGACAATGCTCGGCCCCATACAGCTGGTGTCACTCAATCGTTAATTCGACAGTTTCATTGGAGAGCAGTTCGATCACCCGCCGTACAGCCCGGACTTGGCGCCGTCCGACTATCACTTGTTCCTGCACATGAAGCGCGAGCTTGGTGGCAAGCGCTTTGGATCTGACGATGACACGAAAAATGCTGTGGAGTCGTGGTTATCGAAACTGGCGGGAAGTTTCTTTGACGATGGTATAAAAAAACTGGTCACCCGCTATGACAAGTGTTTGATCATTGGCGGAAACTATGTTGAAAAATAGTTTAAGACATGTATTTTCATGTAAAAATAAAATTGGATTCGAAAAAATTGTTTTACTATTTTTTTTCAAAAAGTACTTAGTTTCTGAATACGCCTCGTATCTTGATTTCATGACAACTAGTTCATGTAATTCATCTAATACAGTTTAAAAATTAATGTTCTGTATAAACAGATTTAATTTGCTCAGTTCTAGATGCAAGTTAAAAATTTGACACTAATTTAGTATCAATATTTCGATCCTACTCCCGCTTTCATCGAGCATGTAATATTTCAATAAAATGGGTTTGATCAAAATTTCGTACTTCCCGGTTCCTGTACTTGTGCAACACCATTATCAAAGTTCTTTGCCTGCAATGGATTTCAGAGGGGCTGGATTTCCTTACTTTAAGTTTAACAAAAACAATTCTCTAGAAGACAAAGTAAATGAGTGATGGTTTCTTCTTAAATACTGGCTTATAGGAGGCAGAAATGCAACTTCTATATTCCATCATTTAAGGTATTTACCTTCAAAATCTTCTCTTTGGGATACACACATTATATTTACATAAAGTTATAAAAAAGTTCATGAAATTTCTCTGAGCATTACCATATATTAAAAGTCTTTCAATGGAAAGGAAGTGAGTACTATAGACTGAAGAAAAAGCAAGGAAAGCATTGGTCATGCTTATAATTATGCAGATTGACTAAACAAACAAAAAGTAATATTTCGGCAGGCTAGAAACATAAATTTTGAGATTTGAATATATCATTAGAAGAAGCACTTTTTTAATTTGTTGTGTGCTTAAAATGTAACATGTCAAAAATGCTAAGCAAAAATACTTAAAAATACTGGGGGAAAAAAAAAAGAGAGATAAAAGATTTTAATGTTTTTAGTAATTGCAGGGGGGGGACAAACGATATTTTAACTGGGAATTTTCAAAACAGTATTGTGCAATTTACTTATACAAGAAAATATAATTAATGAAGAACTGATAAAACAAAATGCAAGTGTCTCACGAAAAATCAAAAAAAGTCAGAAAATTGAGAAACGTTGAAATTGCTTTTCTAGAATGATTTCAAGCTATGAAACTAAACATTTTTTCTATTTCTAGAGCTTTTTTCACTTATTCACTAAATGCAAGGGGAGACTGACACATGGCTCACAAGTTGGAGAAATAGTGAAATTCATGCCAATTCACACTCAAAATGGCAGTCGTACAAACAGAAAGAAATTTCAGATGATTAAAATTAAGGACCTTCTGCCGAGTTTGGCCAAAATTAAGGACCAAAAATCGATTCCAAAAAATCTAAGGACTTTTAAGGACCGTACGAACTCTGAATTTAATATGCAATGTTTTCCAGATAGAAATATTTGTTATAGCCTCATTCATGTTAGTGCTACATCACAAATTTTATTGAAATACCGACAGTTTACTGGAATAAACCAACTCTAACTTTCTTCCAAGAGAGATTCAAACTCAATTTTAACTTCCCATGCTGAAGTAGAAATGTATTATTTATATATAGAAATTTATATACAGCCCTACATTATTGCATTAAATTATTATATCTGCTTACATCCATTAATGCATCAAGTCTCAACAGTTTAAAAAGATGAAGGGAGAAAAGCCTGCAACTCTTCATGCTAGGAAAGACCTGCTAGGACCTGCTTCATGCTAGGAAAGAGATTCCTTAGACACAAAAAGAAAATGATAAATTGCAAACATACCAGAGGGTGTAATATACTGAACTTAGCAAATGACCTACTATTTGCATAAGAAAATAGCTTTTAATTAAGGACATGGTTCCAATAGGAAGAATTTATTAGCAAGTTATTGTCATTTTTGGCATTTACCGTAAAAATGATGACATACATGCACTCAAAATGAATATTTATAACATGAAAAACATCAAACATGAATATCTTACAATCATTTCTAAAATGCATTCTTCTACTGCATTTAATCCATTAGGTTTATAATAAGGAATATTTATAATCATGAAAAATCAAACTCAAACATGAATATCTCCAATCATTTTACAAATCTTCCTCTTTTATGCTAATAACTTTCAATGAGAAAAATCCCTGATAAAAAGCAATGTTCCAATTATGCATAAAATTATTACACTATAATACAAAAAATAATACATTACTCTAATACCACTTATATTTAATTCCTATCATGAGCTAATTTTTATTTGTAACTCCAATAACAATATATTATTTCCATGAATAAGGTCAACTTGTCTGCAAACAACAGGTTCAAAATTCATTTGATATCTAAACATCTATTTGATATCAATCTATATCCATTTGATATCTATTTGTGTCCTGTTAGGTAAGAATTTTTCAAGCAGTGATTATTATGATTACCAAAGGGTTAATGAATGTGTTGATTCTTCTATTCAATAATGACCTCAACAATTAGTTCCTCTCTGTTGTAATATGGACTATTTCTAGGTTTTCATTTTTACTAATCCTCCATATATGTATGAGATTTTCCTTTTATATTATTTCAGTGTGTTTTCTGTTTGTTCTTAATGTATATATCAGTATTTACTATAGATTTCATTTTAGATCTGATGAATGATTACAGCCTCACTAAAGCAAGTAGGATAAATAGAAAAATAGCGTCTGCATCTAATTCTCAGGCAGGTATTTTCATATTTAATTCTTAGAAAAGCATTTTTCTATTTAAATCATATTTCTAATTTATACACAATTTACTTCACTTTAATTCTCAAGCCTGTCAATGTTATAATATTTGCAGAGTTATTTTAATGCAATGTGCATTTGAAAATTACTAATCCTATAAAATTCATTTTTTAACTGATGAATTTAGGGGCAAATACATTTTAAAATTCTATTTTCATGAAACTGAATGACAAGTTTACATATTTTAATACAAAGCCTACATAGAGAGAAAACAATGCTAATTCTATTAGGTATATAAATAACAATTGTATACAAAAAAATATTACACCTTGTCCAATCTGTTAGTAGGTTTCTTGCTCATAAAATGAAACACAAATCGTTTCTGAAGAGGTTGCAGCATGATTTGCAGTGGCAATAAAAGAGCAGTGTCCTCCATGCTTTCTTTCTTATCTTCAGTCTTGATGAATTCACCTCTTGCAATATGTTAAGAAATTTTGCAAGAAAACTCCAAAATTTATGACAAAAGCAAATTTTGGAATGCTTCAATGCCCATCTGCACCTTAGAAAATACACTGTACATTATGCACAAATAGCAAAAGAATGATTTGTCACATATATTCCCCACATTTGCCACATATGTTCTGAAATAATTAACAATGGTGGTACAGATGCAATAAAAAATAAAATACCCCCCAAAAATGGGGGAGGGGTGTAATCTGAAAATAGAAAACCCATTATTATACAAAGATAATTATAAGCTAATGCTTAAATTTTATTGGCAAGATTATTTATTACAACAAAGTACTTAAAGTCTAATTGCTTTAAGGATTTAATAAACAAAAATTAGATTACATTTATGTCATTCTTGGAAAAATTCATGTAGCCCATCCAGAGGCTTAAATCAAGCCAAGGATGAATTAGTATGAACAACCAGTGTTCAGTAATTTTATGGAACTTGAATTACAAAAAAGGATGATGATGATGTGATTTTTTAGTGCTTACAATGAAAAAGGAACAGATGCTCATCAAAGGATGAAGAGGCAACAATGGAGATGTTTGTGTATCACATTTATAAGTGTACAAGTGGGTCCCTTAGCAAGACAATTACTGACAAAAAGTTCAGTACAAGCATGATCAGTAATCATGCAATCAGAGAGGAGAATTTTTTTTTTAAGCACCAAGAAGGATTTATCCGAATAAGAAGAAAATCAGTAGATATGATGCACATGAATTGAAAATGAAACCTTAACAGTATCATAAGAAATAAATGTTTTGTTCAGGAAAATACAACTAAAAGAAGGAAAAAAATCAATAACATGCTTTCACATAGCACATTTGGCCTTGATGCAAACTGTTATCCAGTTGGGCACTGAATGGTAGAATCAATGGATATCCTCCTACGATTCCATACACATTTCAAATGGCGAGTTAGATCGGCAAAATTCAGGGTCAGTTGAAGATGCATGCTGATCACAGCCCAAATGTACTCTAGTGGGGAGAGATCTGATGATCGCACTGGTCAGGGAAGTGTTGGCAAAGCACAAAGACAAGCAGTATCCAGCTGTGCATTATCTTGTTAAAATGAAAGGCCAGGGGCCAAAAGTAACATTGCAGGATACAGAACCTGGTTTATGTATCACTGTCTTGTAAGGCTGTCATGGGTCACAACCAAAGGGATCCAGCTATCAAATGAAATGGCACTCCATATTATAGCTCCTGGTTACCAGGCTGTAAAGTGATTATCCCACCGTTGTTCTGAAATGTCCGCTGTTCAGACATGTCTTCGCTGATCATTGGGGCTTTGTTCAGGACTCATTGCTGAAAATGATTCTACTCCAATCCGCAAGATCCCAGGCCGAAGGAGCCCACCAGCGGCCGAGCAGTAAAGTTGCTGAACACTGGTAGTTCGGTCCGAGGTTCGAATCCCACGAATGGGCTGGCTGCATGGGCGTTTTCATGGTTTTTCCCCTGTGTAATGTGTCTACGAGCCAGTTTCCGATAGAAAAGTCCTCCACGAAGGCATCCCTCCCCTTAGGTAGATAGCCCTAGTGTGCTTTGCCATAATTAAATAAATAAACCAAACCCATGTCGAAGGTGCCTGGCACCACTGAAACATATCTCACAGTGTGCAATGGTGAGGGGCAGTCGCCACAGTATCCTATATAACTTCAGCCTCTGTTCACTGAGTCTCATTTTCAATAGCCATAGCAGTCACTGGTGTCCCAGTTCTGTACTCACTTTCAGTCGACTGCTACATTCTTGATGCTTTGTATGGACATGGTTCAATGATTCCTACCAACATCATCAAATGGTAGCATCACTCAAAGTCCAATGTCTAAGGATCCTGCAATTTGACCAGTCTACCTCCTTTAGTTTAACTGCATGTCCTCTTTCAAATGGTAATATCTAGTCATATTATTCACAAACCCATCTGCAAGGCACTGGTACAGTCCATGAGGGTCAATGACATGGTTGATGGAACCACAGTCGCATGGAAGTAATGCCTTAGCATTGGAATGCCCTCTGTTTTATACATATCCAAATGCTCAGTTGCAATGCTTCGGAGCTCCACTTAGTCAGCCACCAAAATTTCACCAATGACTAGCCACAAAAATTCAATCATTTGCATATTCTACCATAAGATATGGATACATAGGATTTCATCTCATTTGAATAACTCCTTCTTGGTGCATCGCTTGTTTATCTTATACAGTGTATTTGCTCTAAATATGGTGATGACCTATATTAAAAATGACAAAGTGCTTTCAACTCTATTTATGTACACTATAAGGGAAAAAATAAAACTTACTTTTTAATTTTACCTTGTATATACCACACACATTAATTTGAAATAAAAGTATAAATTTTCCCTATGATCTAATTCTTCTTGTAGAAAAGTAATTATTGCTGAGCATTATTGGTTTTGCCATGTATTTGGGAACATGATACCCACTAGAATTAAAATCTTATAAACCCTTCCTTAACATCACAAATATTCTACACTTTTTGCCACTTCTTTATTTTTGTTGTTTAATATTGTGGATACTTAAAAACATACGCACTTCCTTTTGCTCCTTTAAGTCTTTTAGAGAATGTCACAATTTGTTTATGATTATAGCCAGAATATATGTTTTTTTCCACTTTTATACTTAAGATTATTAATCTCATCTTTAAATATTTTTTGATATTGATTTATGCAATATAATTTTATACTTATAATAAATACTTAAGTCATGAAAAAAAATGTTCTATTGTTAAAAAAATTATAAACACACTACATAAAAACTAGGGTTAAAAAAAGGATAAAGTGAAGAACAGCTCCAAGACATATAAGAAATTATACAATAATAAATAAGTATATTTATGCACAGCAATACAATGCAATATGATAATATAAAGGATACGGCAAAGCAATTCTGTGTATTGACACAAAAAGTTGTTCAAACTTCAAAAAAACATCAGGAGATTGATTTAAAGGAGCAGTAAGATTTGTTGAAAGTACTGGCCAATGCAAATTCTGAAGAGTCTTTTGAAATTCCCTATAAAATTTTTTAAATTAAAAATATGCATTTTTTTAGCACTTTGAAAAAGCATCTTTATGAAAATAAGAGGCACTTCTAAGGTCTCCTAACTTTTCACCTACAGAAATGAAAACATGTAGAAATCTGTTTCAAAAGACAATAAGCATTTGCTGAATTTGGATGAGGCAGTTGACCATACCATCCAACTCATAAAAAGCCCATTACCTTGTATAATAGTGAAAGCATATTAGCTACTAAAGGATGGTGATATTTATATTTGAAGAATAGCCTATTCCTATTGGTTTCATAAACCTGCATGCAATAAAACTCATTGAAATTAATTGGAAGTTATATAGCTATATGGTGATGACGGTTCCCAGACAAAAGCCCACTGGACGAAAGCGCACACGACAAAAGCCCACAAAAAAAAGCCCACTATGATAATTACCCACGTGACAAATGCCCACAGCGATGAAAACGCACATTGATAAAAGCCCACATAGATATAGGCCCACTCTGATAAAAGCACACACTGATAAATGCACACATAATCAAAAGGGACTTATGGTTTTTATTACTATAAAATGTATTTATAATTTTAATTATAATAAATAGAGTATTCAGATCTGAATTTTAATGTCTCAAATATATGTCTGTTTGTATATTTTATCACTACTTTATTTGTTTAATTTATTAGGTTGAAAGCAAACTTTCTGCTCTCTGATTGATTAGCTATAACATTTCGATGATAAATCTGAAATTGCATTTTATTATTTATTTACTTATTTAACTTTGGTATGTGTACCTGAAAATGAAAAATATCATTGTGAAGTTTCTCAGGTGCTATTTTTAAGGTAATATGGCTGAGATTAAATATAATTATGTTTTATTATTAAAACTATTAACTTTTTAATTAAAAACACTTGAATTTTATTTTATTTCTTTTTAATTTTTCCTTTAGTTCCTTTTTAGTTTAGGAATATTCAAACAGCTAAGCACAATGAAAATTTGGCAAAGAGATATTTTATTCTTTACTTTAGACTGAGCTTATTATCAAAGTTTAAATATATATCTCATTGAAAGCTTTTTTGAATGTAACAATTATAATTTGGCGATTTTCTAGAAATATTTTCTTTCAGATTTCTGAATAAATTAAAACTGTCAGCTGACACCCTGTCAGAAAATGAATTACAAGTGTAACCTCTTAATCTTTCAACAACATCAATTTGGAACAGTGTTTTTAATTTTCATTTTATTTATTTATTTATTTTGAGGGGGGGGATGGAACAACTCTTAGAAATCAACATGTCTACTAATTTAAGTAGTACAATCATCTCAATCTATAGTAATAAATATTAAAGTTCATTTCATTAGAGATTGTGAAGATTACAAAAAACTATGCATATAGTAACATCAAATAAAATTTTTTAACTACATGAACATATACAGTCAAAGTTCATAATTTTTAGATGATAAGTATACATATTATATAAATTCATCATTCATTAATAGTATTATGTATAGTAATAGAAAATTAATATTTAATGTTTCAAATTACATTTTTTAAAATAATTTGTCTTGCATTTACTGTATATTTGTTCTAGACGTATGGATATCAGTTATAAAACATGAAAAAATACACAGAAAGCAGCTAATCTTATATAACAGCTAACAAGTGGGAATGAAATTAACTTATGTAAAATCCAAGTTGTGAAAATTTAATTAGATTATTTGAAACCGTGCTTTTAATTCACTATGAAAACAGTAATTGTGATAGCATACACAAATGTTTTCTTAAAATTAAGAGAATACAGTACTTTTATCTTTCTCGTTGAAATAAAAGTTCGGCTTTATTTCAACTTTTAATTCTCCATATTAAATTCATCATGTGCAAAATGTTCTGCAGTGTTAAATTAGTCATAAATTATTCTCTGTATATGATGAAAATTTACATACATTTTATACTCACTTATAATTTTGTAGAATTAAAAGAAGCAGTGTGGCCAGTATTCCCTTTCACCTCCCTTTGTCGGACTTATACGAGGGCACTTCCATTTGTCGCATAAATATAATAACAAAGTTACACATATATGTATATGTTTATAATTACATTATTTTGACTCTCTTAATTCAGCCAGAGCCCAAAATGAAATGTGTTCCTCTACTTAAATTTATTGTTCAATTATTTGTTATTAATTTATTTTTTGTTTTATCTTTATTCATGAATCTACTTTATGCAGCTGAAGAAAAAAGGGAAAAAATATTCATTTTAACATAGCTTATATATCGCTATGGGTTTTTGTCAGTGTGGGCTTTTATCAACAAGGGCTTATACTTATGTGAGCTTTTATCAATGTGCGCTTTTATCGGTGTGGGTATTAGTCGTGTACGCAAATTAACCCAGTGGGGTCTTTTTTGTGGGCTTTTGTCGCGTGTGCTTTTGTCTGGTCACCGGTAAAGACATTACAAACAAAGAATATGTATTTAAAGAAGGAAAGCTTTCACACACGTAATGTAAACCAGTTTGACTACTGCACCACAATGTGTACGTACAAATTCTCCTCGCCAAATCGCCAAGTGTATGGGAGATTGAGGAATAGTAAAAATTCAAAGAACTTACAGGATTTATTCTTTCACAAAGCATTTTGTGATAATTTAAACTTGGATTTTCATAGGTATGTGGCGTTCCGACAGATACTTCAACTTCTATTCATGAGATGGCGCCACGTGTAAAATCCAGTTCTTAATCGGAGCAGCAAAGCAACGTCATTACTCCCTCAGACTTCTCGTGAGACAACTGTACGCGACGGTAGCATGAACTGCGTTCCGAGCTCTGTGTTGATCTCTGCAATGTAATTTAAATTGTAATTTAGTACTTAATATATTCTTTTGTTATAGGAGATTGTCTACTCTTATTTTCTTTAATTATATCATGCATTAAGCACACACGACCACCAAAAGTGGTGACCTTTTGACTGAGCACGCTACTGACAATGGATTTTCAACGACCCTAAGCCACGTGCATCCAAGGCATTCTGAAGCACTGACTAAAAATAACAACGAATATGGACATTAAACGTATGCTACAACGTACCCCTTCAATTATTTCTAGAAGTATTGATATATATTGCTTGTGTTTTTTTTTCAAAGTCGTGCATATCATCGCAAGGAGCTTCAGCAAATCATCAATGTGATCTGTTCCGTTCCGCTGACTTCGCCAGTCGTGCAATAATTCTTCGATCATTCAACTTTTGTGACAAATGTAATACAATAGTGATTTTCGCTAAATGTGCTACATCAGTAATTTTTCTGCAACGTGCTACGGCAAAATTCTTCCCTCAGTGTTCGAAAGTAGTGAATTTTTTTCCCATGTGCTACAGGAGTGATTTCCTTTTTTCCTTCGAAAGTGCCTTAGCAGTGTGAAGTGGTGATTTTGTGTGTGCGCAATACAAAATGAACGCATCATTTTTTTTTTCTCAAATAGGGGTTTCTTTTCAAATGCATTTCGGTAAAATATTATTTGTGTGTGTAATTGCTGACCCTGTCTTATTTGTGTGTGTATCGTTACGTAAATTTTTTCTGCATGGTTAAAATATTTATTGTTATCATGGTAAAATATCAATAGTGTATCCTCATGCTACAATATTTGTGCTGTTAAGTGTTTATTAATTAAAGTGAAAATTATCTATCAGTATGCCCGACGATATTCCACCAGAGCCACAAATCACACGCGTTGCGGTGAAGCCACCGCCTTTCTGGAAAAATAATCCTTCATTGTGGTTCGCTCAGATCGAAGCACAATTTTCTATCGCTCGCATTAGTGAGGATTCTACAAAATTCAAACCATGTAGTTGCAGCAATTGAGTCTGATATTCTGAATTCAGTGCATGACTTAATTCTCAAACCACCTGATTGTGATAAATACTCCAAACTGAAACAGCGGCTCATTGAAATCTATTCAGAAAGTGAATCTTCAAAAATACGTACTTTACTACAAGGACTTGAACTTGGAGATCAGCGACCTTCATACTTGCTGTCACGAATGCGTGATCTGGCAGGAAGCCATTTTAGTGACGACTTGTTGAAGTCACTATGGCTTTCGCGTCTCCCTAATAACATACAAATAATTCTTGCTGCTTCCAATGAAGATCTAACCCGTTTAGCAGCAATGGCTGACAAAATTAATGAACTTGTTACTCCAGCTTATGTCAGTGCTGCTAATGCTGCACCTTCCAGTTCATCCCTCGAACAACAAGTGGCTGAATTGACCAAAAAAGTATCTGAACTCTCTACAAGTCTTCATGCTTCACGGAGATACAATCGATCAAATCAGGGCCCACGTAATAAATTTTCGTGCCCGAAGCAGGAGTCAATCTCGTCACAATACTCGAACGCAGTACAAAGAACCCACAAGTGGCATATGTTTTTATCATATGAATTTTGGCTCTCAAGCTCGCAAGTGTGCCCCTCCATGCACTTTTGAACAAGCGGGAAACTAAATGGGCGGTCTTCTGCTGGCCAACAGAATGTCCGCCACATCGACAGAATAGTACTGGCTGATCGTTCAACTCAGTTATGTTTTCTAGTAGTAGATACTGGAGCTGACATATCAGTGCTCCCGAGAACTAAAACAAATGCTCACCAACTTAATAAACTTGTACTGTATGCAGCCAATGGTACCCAAATTGCAACCTACGGCACCAAACTATTGACACTTGATTTAAACTTGCGCCAGACTTTCAACTGGCCTTTTATTATTGCGGATGTAACTCAAGCAATTATTGGTGTCGACTTCTTGACACATTTCCACCTTCTAGTGGATGTCAAGAATAATTGCTTAATTGATGCTACAACTCAGCTGACATCACAGGGCCAAGCTTCTCACATATCGAACGTACCTACCAACATAAGTGTTGTATCGGGCAGCACACGGTTTCATCGGTTATTAGCAGAATTCCCTGACATTTTAAACCCATCCAAATCAGGGCAGCATACTCATCAGCCAGAAGTGTATCATC